GATAGGGGAAGCAACCTCGACCTTGACAGCGTGGTTGACAGATTTCATGCAAAGTTTCCAAAATGTAGAATTTCACTTTCAAGAATGAGAATTTAAAAATAAATTAGATGGTTACATTTCATAATATTTATGGTTTTGGAAGCTGATTTCGACATCAGAAAAGATAGCCTACATGAAGTCATATTATAGTAGCTCGATGCCTATCAAATAAGTAATAGAAATTAGCCATAATTCGTAAATTTCCGTGGCTTCCAAGGGGCCTCGCCTCCTGGACCCCCACCGGGGACCCTAGGCGGCCCCTGGCACCTAGCCAAGTGGAACTCGATTCGCTCCACTAGCCCCCCCCCCTCCTCGTCGGGGCCTTTAGCCTCCGTCGGGCAGGTCCTGGCGCCATCACTGCCCGGAAATAGGTGACAAACCTGTAGAGTACCACCATTGCACATTAACAGACACAATTTAAAAAGCTATCCTAGGCGTTATTGTTATACCAACCACCTCAGCTAGACCCACCTTGGTCGAGGCTGATGTGAGCACATTATTTTAAAATATGGCACTTCTCCTGAACTTCCTCCTCACTCCCTCACACCTGCGATTAAGGCGGCCTTCGGGGAAAACTTGTTGGTCCGCTGTGAGCATTTGCTTATCACAAAGCACGAAAGCATGTGTGTCAAACATGTCGGTCACGTATTTGGCCCTTAAACCAGCTGTGCTTACCCTAAAGCCCGTTCCCAAAATTATGTAGTTTCTAAAAATGAGCTATAATAATTACCCCTTAACGCGATCGACTTTGTGAAAAAAAACAAAACAAAAAAACACCCGTATATGTGTGTACTCTAGCTAGTACTAGGGACCTCATGCAGTTTGCCCACTTAGTAGTTGAGAACGCTTGCCCCTTTTGGTTCACAGAGCTCACAATAGAACAACAGCAATCAATTGAAAAAATTCAACGTACACCTGTTGGGAGTATTCTCACCAGTTTGCCTTAAGATCATGCTTTAAGATCATGCTTTAAGCCCATCCCCCCCCCCAACTTTCTGCTCGTTTGCCTATTACTTGCAAAATAATATCAGAAAATCATGTAGGGTGGACACCGACTGAATAATTTACCTACACTTGCACCCATTTCACCAGTATTAACCGTAGTTAAAATTCAATACACTTCACCCAAAGTAAAAAATGACAGATCCAAAAAGGTATAATTGATTACAGTGCTTTAAAGCACTGGCAGATGATCCCTCGCTGCACACTCTCCCTGATAAACTGCAATAATTTTTAATTTCTTAGCTAAACCTTAATATTTTTCTATAATAATTTTTTTTTATTAATTAATAGTAGTAATTGCTATGAGGATAGATGCAGTAAATTAAAATCGTGTACATATAAATCTTTAATTCTAAATTTATATAAATTCTGAAATTTTTTATTGATTAATAATGTTAATTATATTTTTATCTCATTGTGAATTATACTTAAATTTAAGCCTGTCTTTGATTTTTTGCATCTATGTTGACTTTCCTTGTTTAAAGCTTTTGTGTGCTTTTGATTTTTCTTGAATGTCCTGATGTTTTTATGTTTGTGAAGTTTATTCTTTGAAAAATATTGTATTGGAATAAAGATTATTTGAATTAGCTTTTGGCGAAATATTGCCACCGTAGAGATGAACTCAAATACTAATTGCACACCGTTTCGATTCACGGAGTTACTACGCGTTTCCCAGCTGCACTGCCTTCCTCATTCGTTTCCAGTCATATTGCTCCATACCCATACTATCATGCACTATTACGCACTACTACTCCACCTCACCATAAATCCGAGGGAGCAAAGAAGGTTGCGCTTTGTGTGCTGGTTTGCAATTGTAGGCTTATGTTATCCAGTGAACATGAGTAATAACGCTCACGCATTTCATCAATTTGGAATAATTTGGCGCTATATAAATATTCAAGCAAATTATTAGGCATTATTATTATATTTTTTTTCTTATTTTTTTTCTTTCCCACCCCCTAAATCTGCACCTGATCTTTGATCACACCACAACCACAACACACTACGTTTTCACCTCTGCCACTGCTGTTGGAAGGCTACTTATTCACAGACCTATTGTTGTACAAACACCCATGTAATGAAAGATCGTATGATGCAATACTTCGCTTCTAAATAGGTAAACAAATAATGATTAGACACAAAAATGTGCATAATACTGTATAATACTGCTTTTGGACGTATAAATAGCAGTTTGTACGAGTCATGTCATTTTCCCATATAAAGTGAATTGTATCCTGGACCAAAAACACATCCAAAATCTCTCAGAAAAGAGAACAATGTTCAAACACAGGAGGCAACGACAATATGCATAAAGCATGATTTAATAATTACAATGTATGTCCTATATTTCATTTAGAAAGAAGTACAATTGCACTAAATTAATTAAATCATCTTACTCTATACTTCTTGAGCAATTTTGAAATACTGTAGTAAAAATGATAAATTTGTTAATTAAGCTTCTTAAAATCTGTTGGTTTATGAAATGCATAGACATTGTAGAGGATCCATCGTGCCAAAGCATGATCACTAACAGCTTTTTATTTATATCAGACTTTATTCAATTACGCTTCGTAACATGTGCTCGTACTTCAAAATTCCAAACTATTTTACCTATTTTCTTCTAATCACTAAGCCTTATAAATGATATGGTAAGCAATCGTTATGGTCGCTGCTCTAAAGTTTGGAATGACATTTTTTAGGAATCCACATCTATTTCCTTATTTAAGACGAAGCTTAAGGCCCATGTGCCTGTTTGGCTCTGTTCAATGTACGTGTCTTCGCTTTCTCTTCCATTTTTAGATTAAGATAGCCAGATGCATGTGTAACTTGAGCATGCGAATCATTCTCCAGCGAGCCTGTATTTAAAACCTCAAGGTGCTGGAAAACAGGGCAGCGATACTGGTTTCTTTTCTTCTACTGTATTTTTTTTTTGTCTCAGTGTGTTCCATTTGTAAGGGTTTTTTTTCTTTAATTTTTAGGTTTCTGTTCTTTAAAATACTTGAGAATGTTTGTATATGCTATAAGTACACGGCCTTTACCATTACCAACAGATTCTACAAAAGAGATTGTTCTAATACTAAATCTAAATAAAAGCTTGTGTAAATAAACAATCCAAGTTAGTCTATAATTCTACAAGTTTTTATCATCTATTCACTCCTTTCCCAATATTAGGCCTAGACATAATGATACGCTCCACTTATTTAAAGTGTTGTTCATTCCACGCATGTAAAGCATCGTAACATTTCGTAGCGTATCCTTTGTTCAGACGAAATTCGTTCTCATTCAGCCACTCAAGGAAACGTTTTTTGTCCTTTTCCAACATCAAATATTTTCCAAATACAGCATACGCCTAAAATTTAGGATGAAGAAAACGATTCAATTTACAGTAAGCATTATGATTTTTTTTTTTTTTTTTTTTTAATGTTTCATCATGGTTGGTAAAAAAGGAGGAGATAAAGCTGTAGATGGATAAGCCAGAGTTATTATAGTGGTCAATATGTATTTCACGTCTTTACAGTAGTTAAATAAATAAAATCAATCTTATAAAATACCTTTGTAATTCCTTCTCCTTTTAGTTTCTTTGCTGTTTCTGTGCCTATTCCCGGTATGTCAGTTACAGGTTTTTCACCCATAGGATCCTTAATGAAATCAGCATGCTTCCTCGTATTGTCTGCCATTTCGATGAATTACAATATTACAATACAAGATTAAACTAAATATTCAAAAAAAAGAAAAACATAATGAATTTCAGTATCAAACAGTACACTAATTGAAGTCCGATTTATGCTAACAATCTTATTATTATAGTACCCGTTCATCAGTTTCTGATGCTGGCAGACAGCACAAATTATCTGGAGTACGGTACTCTTTAGTTTCTAGGTGTAAGAACACTTTCTTTGGTGACTGATAAGTCCACACTCGAAATATTATTTCGTTCCCTCGAAATATTATTTCGTTCCCTCGAACTATTATTTCGTTCCCTCGAAATATTATTTCGTTCCCTCGAAATATTATTTCGTTCCCTCGAAATATTATTTCGTTCCCTCGAAATATTATTTCGTTCCCTCGAAATATTATTTCGTTCCCTCGGAATAATATTTTGTTCCCTCGAAATATTATTTCGTTCCCTCGAAATATTATTTCGTTCCCTCGAAATATTATTTCGTTCCCTCGAAATATTATTTCGTTCCCTCGAAATAATATTTCGTTCCCTCGAAATAATATTTCGTTCCCTCGAAATATTATTTCGTTCCCTCGAAATATTATTTCGTTCCCTCGAAATATTATTTCGTTCCCTCGAAATATTATTTCGTTCCCTCGAAATATTATTTCGTTCCCTCGAAATATTATTTCGTCGTTCCCTTGAAATAATTTTGAGGGCGCCCTTATAACTTTATGACCAGAGCCGTAGATAAAGAGAGTTTGGCCAACTTGGCGCATGGGCGCCATGTTGTCACCAAACAGCGTGCGCGCGTATAGCTTTTTGGATCGATTGCAGCAACCCCAAACCCAACATAACGGTATTTCACATTATATAGCATTAATCATCTATAATAATAACTGCTAACCTCCTACCCTATCGCGTTGTTTTGTTTTGGTGACAACATGGCCGGTGTAAGACACGTGATTGAAACCGAGTTGGCCAAACTCTCTCTATCTACGGCTCTGTTTATGACAACCGTATCACCACTCACAGATGCCTGCTTTTTTCCTGTCATAGTTAAAGGGATATTAAAATGGATATAGACGAAAGGAATTTATGCTGTAGTGACTTTTTAGTAAACATTTTAGGACAGGTCTTATATTCATTTTCATCTTTAGATCATGACTAATCGCATCATTCCCTTAAACCGGATTTAATCGATCTTACAGGGGGTTAACCGCTAGGCGATAACATAACGTCTAACCCCCGAGGGGCATAGACACAGAATGCTTGTGAATGGTTTGATCATGAGTTGATGTTGTAGCACTGCATGGGGCTCGGTGGTCAATTGAGGGGCTTTAACTTGCAAAATAAGGTGATTTTAGGTGATTTTTAAATACTTGCAAGTGAATTTCCATATGCCTCCCCTTGTGTTTCAGCTGGAGGACTAAAATACAAGTTACAATAACGCACCATCTTTCCACTCCTGTGTTTATGGTCCATGTGCACGTTAAAGAGCAGTACACTGTTGGAAAAAAGAGTAGGGGATTGTCTCCCGGTATACGGCCCAACCACCACCAGAAGGACCCCACTGGAAATAAGTCTTCTTCTAGACTTTCGTGGGGGAAACATTTGTGAGGAACATGCTACGTGACAATCGGTCATAATGCAAAAAATGTCCAAATGATCCATTGTATCTCCCCCAAAAATAGAATAAAGACTGCTCAGGGAATCCTGTAACAATTTGAAAAAAAAAAAGAATAATTATGTAAAATAATACTTGCAGACGAATTAAAAGGTAATGATGATATTGTGTCAGTATAGTTCTTTGTAAGGGGGAAGATTATAAGCAGACGTTTCACGATACGGTTCAGAGCAGGTACAGTGCACCCCTGTTAGAAGAGTTTCCATCAAAATGTATCGCTCAATCGTATGGTCAAACCACAATTTAAAGACAACGAGTTATCTTAATTCTTAATAAAATATCTTAATGTTCATAGTAATAATGTTAGTCATAATAATAATAGTAATAATAATGTTTATAATAATAATAATAATAATAATAATAATAATAATAATAATAATAATAATAATAATAATAATAATAATAATAATAATAATAACAATAATAATAATAATAATAATAATAATGAAGATGCAAGGTGAATTATGGGTGATGGGGCGCGAGTACTTTTGTTGGAGTTGGAGTCCCGCATCATTCTGTAGGCCTACAGGAACGTGTGGCAAATGGTTCATATGATTAATTAAATTGAACTTTTAAAAATATTATAAATACTTGTGAAGTAATAAACAAATTAACATAAGATTATTATTAATGTGACCAAGCTAAATAATTTCAACTTTATGTATTATAATAACTGAGAACAGAACAAAAGACTGTACGGTCTAAATAAATGAATAAGTTTGTACGCTGTTACGTGATTGAGGGCGCAATATACTTTCAAGAGAACGAAATAGCGATTTCGAGGGAACGAAATAATATTTCGAGGTTACGAAATAGCTATTTCGAGGGAACGAAATATTATGTCGAGGGAACGAAATATTATGTCGAGGGAACGAAATAACATTTCGTTCCCTCGAAATAATATTTCGAGGGAACGAAATATTATTTCGAGGAAACGAAATATTATTTCGTTCCCTCGAAATAATTAAATTTTTTTTTAACCATGTCCCTTTAGGGGCTCCGTACGTTCCCTCGAAATAATTAAATATTTTTCTAACCATGTCCCTTTAGGGGCTACGTAACTCTGTGATCGGCATACAGTAGGCCTATGCGTTCACATTTAACGATAACAATGCAAGGCAGCATATTGAGATAGGAATTTCTGGACATAGCAATGTGCATATTAGGTAGTTACTTTCCAGATTGAATGAATGTCTAATTTATTCCTGCATGGCTCAGCTAAGTGTGGTTTGCTACTTGGACGGTATTGGAGCCAGTGGAGGATGGGGGAGAAAAGGGGACACCTTAGGACAAGTCTGGACCTCCTGCACGACGCATGACTATTTCGTCCGATCATAATATAGGCTAAAAAATAATTTGCCTATCCAAATAATGTTATTTTGACTGCCAATCCTTAATATTGTAGTCTAAAAGCACATCTTTTACCATTCTAAACTGACAAAAAAAACTCCCCGTGAATCCTACTAGGGAGTTTTTATTCCGGCCCGTAGACCGAGGCTTCGTCGGCCCCTTGGCTCGGACCACTCCGTCGGACATTTCGGCAAATTTCTGGCGCCACCGCTTCATGTGGATCTAAAATTTAACTCTTTAATGACTATGGAAGACACATCACACAATTGGAAACGTTTGTATATGGGACATATTGGAAAACATTTTAAAAATATATTATGTCTAAAATGCTTGTTCATTCACAATATGGAACAGATATGGAGAATTCTTAAAAACCAGGTCATTTTGTCTAAATATGGAATAACTGAATGTAAAGAATATAAAATAAATAAATGAATAGTCTATATTTTTTCACTTTAGAAGAATATCATAGATTAATTTCCTTTTCTGAAATAGATTATAGTGAAATTGAGGATTATATCTAAAATGAAGAATTTGCTGTTTTTTGTTTTTTGTTTTTTTTTTGGTTTTTTTTTTTAGATTCAGTCATAACAATTGTGGGCCATGTTTGTTATCTTTGGGATGTTTTTTTTCTTTTTTTTTTTTGCCCCTTTATTTAAGTTATTTAATTAATAACAAATTCTACGTTTTAGATATATATATATATATATATA